CTTAGCAGAGATCCATCAATAAAACCTAGCTTGTTTTTCGCATCTAGGCTGATTCTCATCGCTATTGACCAACTATTGTAGTTACTACCATCAAGAACATGAGCTACAATCGATAAACCTGGATGATCGGAAGAGTGAAGAAACATCGGATTTTCGAAAGGATCAGAAGCCTTCGATACAGATCCATGAACTTCATACGATTCCGGTTTGAGAGAAAAAGGTTGTTTCATGCTCGCAAGCTTTGGATCTTCATCGATCCCTGAATCACGAACAGATTTGACCGCAGATCCTTCATCCTCCGGTGTTACACTTCTGTTTCTCAGTTTTCCTCCTTTCTTCACCATTTTCTACCAAATCGAAGCTGCGGAATAGAAATCGGACGTGATAAAAGAGATTTTCCGGTGAAAAATTGAAGAATCTGAAGATAAAAAGAGGTGAAATCACCAGATTTTGGAGAAGAAAAGCTCTGATACCATGATAGAATTCATGAACAAAGAAACTTGTGAAATGATTTTCTATCTTTCTCAATCAGAAAATGTTGTTACAATTGGTCTTATATACAATTACACTAAACCAAAGTAAACCAAAGCTAAAACACAAAACAGATAAACCGGATCTAATTACATGGTTATCTGATCAATTCTAAGAGGTGTTGATGTGGTGGTTCCACATACCAATTGGGAAGTTGTCTCGTTTGATCAGAAACCATTGTATCCCAAATTCTCTTGGACGGTCAACAAATTCTCTAAGTTGAAAGTGAATACCTACGAATCAAAGAAGTTTTTAATGGGAGGAAAGAATTGGTGAGTAATCAATAGTTTTATATTAACATAATGATCTGAAATAACATCACTATGTTTTAACAATTTATAATGTTTTTAGGGTGATAATGTTGTATCCCAAGGGCAAAACAAATTGCAAATTCTTATCCCTCTATCTGAAAGCTGATGATAAAACAATAAAGGAAGAAGTTTATGCGCAAGTGGATATGCGAATTGTCGACCCATTTGGATGCAATCACGTTACTAGGACAAGTAAGTCATAACATTTTGTTTAGATATTGTGATGTATATTCATGAGAGATTAAATTCTGTTTACTGCAGGTAAATGTTGGTATCAGAATTCTTCCACTTATAGTTGGGGTTGGCCTGAATTTGTGTCTTTAGCTAAACTCCGGGAGGCTTATTTGAACAAAGAAGGCTCTTTGAAAGTAGAAGTCGAATTTAAAGTTGTTTCTGCCACCAAATACTTTTCCTGAAGATATCTCTTAGAATTGATCAGATAACCATGTAATTAGATCCGGTTTATCTGTTTTGTGTTTTAGCTTTGGTTTACTTTGGTTTAGTGTAATTGTATATAAGACCAATTGTAACAACATTTTCTGATTGAGAAAGATAGAAAATCATTTCACAAGTTTCTTTGTTCATGAATTCTATCATGGTATCAGAGCTTTTCTTCTCCAAAATCTGGTGATTTCACCTCTTTTTATCTTCAGATTCTTCAATTTTTCACCGGAAAATCTCTTTTATCACGTCCGATTGCTATTCCGCAGCTTCGATTTGGTAGAAAATGGTGAAGAAAGGAGGAAAACTGAGAAACAGAAGTGTAACACCGGAGGATGAAGGATCTGCGGTCAAATCTGTTCGTGATTCAGGGATCGATGAAGATCCAAAGCTTGCGAGCATGAAACAACCTTTTTCTCTCAAACCGGAATCGTATGAAGTTCATGGATCTGTATCGAAGGCTTCTGATCCTTTCGAAAATCCGATGTTTCTTCACTCTTCCGATCATCCAGGTTTATCGATTGTAGCTCATGTTCTTGATGGTAGTAACTACAATAGTTGGTCAATAGCGATGAGAATCAGCCTAGATGCGAAAAACAAGCTAGGTTTTATTGATGGATCTCTGCTAAGACCACCTGTTAGTGATTCAAAATTCCGTCTATGGAGCAGATGCAACAGTATGGTGAAGTCGTGGATTCTTAATGTCGTGAATAAGGAAATCTATGACAGTATTCTATACTATGAAGATGCTGTTGAGATGTGGATTGATTTGTTTACTCGTTTTAAGGTGAATAATCTACCAAGGAAGTACCAATTGGAACAAGCTGTGATGACTCTTAAGCAGGGACAACTGGATCTCTCCACTTATTTTACGAAGAAGAAGACGTTGTGGGAACAATTGTCTAACACCAAATCTCGTACTGTGAAGAAGTGTGACTGTGATCAAGTAAAAGAACTGCTGGAGGAAGCAGAAACAAGTAAGGTTATACAATTTCTGATGGGTTTGAATGATGATTTTAATAACATTAGGGGTCAAATTCTCAACATGAAGCCTAGACCAAGTCTGAATGAGATCTATAACATGCTAGATCAAGATGAGAGTCAGAGGTTGGTAGGTTTTGTTTCAAAACCAGTCCCTAGTCCTGCAGCGTTTCAGACTCAAGGTGTAATCAGTGATCAGACTCCAATTCTACTAGCTCAGGGAAACTTCAAGAAACCTAAGTGTTCACACTGCAATCGTATTGGACATACTGTGGACAAATGTTACAAGGTTCATGGGTATCCTCCAGGTCATCCTAGGGCAAAGCAGAACTCTTATGTTGGAACAGCAAATCTAGCTAGCGTCGATCAGTTGAATATCACTGCACCTAGTTCTGAGCCAGACCACATGTCTAAGGATCACATCCAACAAATGATCTCATACTTAAGTACCCAGCTTCAGTCCCCTAGTATCACTTCATGCCCTGACAAAGCTATAGCCTCGACTTCAAATTCTGTACCTACTATCTCACAGATAACAGGTACTTTCCTTTCTCTCTATGATTACACCTATTATGACATGTTGACTTCTTCTGTACCTCATGAAACTGAGTTGTCTTTTAGAGCTTGGGTAGTAGATTCAGGGGCTAGTCATCATGTTACTCATCAAAGAGAAATCTATCTAGAATACAAAACCTTAGATAGAACATATGTTAGACTTCCCAATGGTCAAACAGTCAAAATAGAGGGTACTGGATACATTCAACTTACTGATGCTTTAGCTCTCCACAATGTTTTGTATATTCCTGAGTTCAAATTTAATTTATTGAGTGTTAGTGTAATTACTAAAACATTGCAATCTAAAGTGAGTTTTACATCTGATGAATGTATGATTCAGGCTCTTACCAAGGAATTGATGCTTGGAAAAGGTAGTCAAGTCGGCAATTTATATGTTCTGAATCTGGATAAAACTCTTGTCGACATGTCTTCTTTTCCAGGTACTACTGTTTGTTCTAGTCTTAAGATTGATGCTGACATGTGGCACAAAAGATTAGGTCACCCTTCTTTTGCTAAGATAGATACTCTTTCTGATGTTTTGTTGTTACCAAAGCAAAAGATTAATAATAAAATCACACATTGTCACATTTGCCATTTATCTAAACAGAAGCATTTACCTTTTAAATCTTTGAATCATATGCGTGAAAAAGCCTTTGAATTGGTTCATATAGATACTTGGGGTCCTTTTTCTGTTCCTACTGTAGATGGTTATAGGTATTTCTTGACAATTGTTGATGATTTTAGTCGTGCTACTTGGTTATATATGCTTAAACAAAAGTCTGATGTGTTAACTGTTTTTCCGGGTTTTCTTAAAATGGTTGAAACTCAGTATAATGCTAAAGTTTGTTCAGTTAGGTCTGATAATGCTCATGAATTGAAGTTTAATGCATTGTTTTTAAAAGAAGGTATTAAATCTTATCACTCATGCCCTGAAACTCCTGAACAAAATTCTGTGGTAGAGAGAAAACATCAGCACCTGTTGAATGTAGCTAGGGCTCTTATGTTTCAGTCTGGGGTTCCATTAGAGTATTGGGGTGAATGTGTTTTGACAGCAGTGTTTCTTATTAATAGGTTACCATCCCCTGTCATTGATAATAAAACTCCTTATGAAAGACTCACAAATGAAACACCAGATTACTCATCCCTTAAGGCTTTTGGTTGCTTATGTTACTGTTCTACTTCACCTAAATCTAGAACTAAGTTTGATCCTAGAGCTAAGGCTTGCATTTTTATAGGATATCCTATGGGTTATAAAGGTTACAAGCTATTAGATATAGAGACATACTCAGTTTCTATTTCTAGACATGTTATATTCTATGAGGATATTTTTCCTTTTGCATCATCTACTATCCCAGATGATACAAAGCATTTCTTTCCTCATATTTCTCTTCCTGCACCAAACACTGATGGACATATGCCTCTAGTGCAACCATCTTATGATGCTCCTCAACATTCTGATGAGTCATCCTCCTTGATTTCTGTTCCTTCTGAACTTAAATCTACTAGGCAGAGAAAACTGCCTTCCCATTTGCAGGACTTTCATTGCTATAATAATACTCCTACTATTACTAAGACTCCCACTAAAACATCTCCTTATCCTTTAGCAAATTATATTTCTTATTCATACTTATCTGAGCCTTTTAATGCTTTTATTAATATTATCACCACTACAAAATTACCACAAAAATATTCAGAGGCTCGGCTTGACAAACAATGGAATGATGCTATGGGAAAGGAAATTGGTGCTTTTGTGAGAACAGGTACTTGGAGTATATGTGATCTACCTGCTGGGAAAGTTGCAGTGGGTTGCAAATGGTTATTTACCATAAAATTTTTAGCTGATGGAAGCATTGAAAGGTATAAAGCACGTCTGGTGGCTAAAGGGTATACTCAGCAAGAGGGTATAGATTTTATAGATACATTCTCACCTGTTGCCAAGATGGCGACTGTGAAATTACTTCTATCCCTCGCACCTAAGATGCAATGGTTTTTAAACCAATTAGATATTTCTAATGCTTTCTTAAATGGTGACCTTGCTGAGGAAATATACATGAAATTACCACCAGGATATGCAGAGATTCAAGGTGAAGAAGTCTCTCCTAATGCCGTGTGTAGACTGCACAAGTCTATTTATGGGCTAAAGCAAGCTTCCAGGCAATGGTTTATTAAATTTTCTACTACATTGGTTGGTTTGGGGTTTGAGAAATGTCATGGTGATCACACCTTGTTTGTGAAGTTCAGTAATGGCAATTATTTGGTGGTCTTAGTATATGTGGATGATATTCTCATTGCCAGTACTACTGAGGCTGCAGCATCTGAGCTTACACAACAACTGCGTGGTTATTTTCAACTCAGAGACTTAGGAGAACCAAAATTTTTTCTTGGTATTGAGATCGCCAGGACTGCAGAGGGAATTTCTTTATGTCAGAGGAAATATGTACTTGACTTGTTGGCATCTTCTGGATTTTCAGATTGCAAACCCTCTTCCATTCCTATGGAGCCAAATCAGAAATTCTCTGAAGCTGAAGGTGATACTATTGAAAATATCAAGCAGTATCGCAGATTGATTGGTAAATTGCAGTATCTTACCATCACTAGACCTGATATCACTTTCACTGTCTCAAAGTTGGCTCAGTATTCAAGTGCTCCTAAGCTGATTCACTTGCAGGCCATTCATAAAGTTTTGAGGTATTTGAAAGGTACTATTGGTCAAGGAATATTTTATGGTACAGATGCAGATTTTACACTTCGAGGATTTTCAGATTCTGATTGGGGTACATGTCGTGATTCCAGAAGATCAGTTACTGGTTTTGCAGTGTTCCTTGGTAATTCTTTAGTCTCCTGGAGATCCAAGAAGCAAGATATTGTTTCCATGAGCTCTGCTGAAGCAGAATACAGAGCCATGTCGGTTATTACTAAAGAATTGATATGGTTAAGTGCTCTTCTAAAGGCTTTGAAGGTTCCTTTTACTCTCCCTGCTTACTTGTATTGTGACAACACTGCAGCTCTTCACATTGCTAACAATTCAGTGTTTCATGAACGTACGAAACACATTGAATTTGATTGCCACAAAGTCAGGGAATGCATTGAATTAGGGATCCTCAAGACCATGTATGTTCGCACAGACAATCAACTTGCAGATGTCCTGACCAAAGCTCTTTATCCAGCTCCTTTTCGGGAAAACATGTCCAAGATGGGAGTTCTTAATATATATGCACCTCCATCTTGAGGGGGGCTCTTAGAATTGATCAGATAACCATGTAATTAGATCCGGTTTATCTGTTTTGTGTTTTAGCTTTGGTTTACTTTGGTTTAGTGTAATTGTATATAAGACCAATTGTAACAACATTTTCTGATTGAGAAAGATAGAAAATCATTTCACAAGTTTCTTTGTTCATGAATTCTATCAACACCAAACTCGCATTGATCTCCATCGAAGACATATCCGTTTTCCGGATCATTGAATGTATCAAGCGGAATCACTTGCGAAAATCCCCATACCGGTCTTAATGCATTGAACTGGTTCCCTTCAACATCTGCATATATATATATTCCATCAATGACTACACACATATACATGTAATATATAGAGAGAATGGGCTATGGTATAACCTTGAATAGTAAAGAAATTATTTTCTTTCTTGTTGTAAACGAAAAAGGTGAGATATATATGCCAAAACCGTGGATGCGACGAGGCTTTTGCTATCTAATTCAACATACATTGAAAGAAATCCACTTCCCTTGTCTTTTTTGTTACCCTTTGGATATATAACCAATCTCCTGATTTTTACAACAAAAATGAATAAATGAGTTATATGTTTTTATAATGATTTTAGCATGAACAAATTAATAACTACGGGACGTTGATCATTACCAGTTGTATTTGCCGGAAGAGAAATAACGGGATTTGTATTGAGCTGAGAGAGGCTTTGGATCTTCATGGAATAAGTAGATGGCAGACGATCTTCAAACTTGCTCCTTCTTGTAGAATTTGCTTCTACGCATGATTTATCTTCTTTCCACATTCTGTTTCACCCTTGAGAGAGACTCAAACAAGATTATAACAAGAAGGCAAAGATATGATCAATCGTTTTCAAATATATGTATTTAAAGAGCGTATAAGAGAGAATATATCCAAATATGAAAAGAAGGCGAATTTATAGTCTTTTGTTCGTTTGTTTTTTTTTGTTTCCTAGTGGGATTAGGTTTTGGTTTGACGACGGATTAATTATTAATTATTTCTTGACGTTGATAATAGACGAAGTTAATCCTTATCCTACTGCCGTAAACAAATTTTATCTTTGCATTACTTTAATTTAAATGAGGGAGAATTTCTTTTTACAGTTCATATGTAAATTGGTACTTTTTTTTTGTTTGCTAAGAACATAAATATTTCATAGAAATGTAAAAATTTAGGTTTACAATCATGGATTATATAGATTATAATCCTAAAGAATGGTCCTATGGCACACAAAAAAAAATGGGCATGGAAGCATAGTTCTTAAACATGATCTCAGTCCGTCCACTCGACATATATACAAAGCGAATGGAGTTGAACAAAGTGATAATTAATGATATTGGTGCGCTTCTCATGTGGTAAGATAGAGACAAAGGGTGTGTGCACAAGCAATAGAAGCCTTTTAATGTAAACTAGGTAAGAATCCGTGCTATGCACATGTCAATTTTATGTTATATACCTTTATATTAAAAAAACTTACAAATTAAATTTCAAATATTTTAGTGACTTATATTATCAAAAAGTTGCATTTACGTCATTCTAAGTTGAAACTTAAGATTTAAGGTTGCAATTTAAATTTTTATAATATATGAAATAATTTGTTGGGTGTTGAAATGTATAAACTATATATTTATATTGTTTAATTCTATAATAGAAAAACATATTTCATGTAATCATATATATGAAAGTTGGCCAACTCTCTTCATATGAATGTCACATCATCACACAAGAAAATGACATGTGTCATTCAACATTATTTAAATTAAAAATAAGCAAAATTAATTGAGAAAAACTCAAAAGTCTCCTATATGTTAAATTCTCCATTAATCCCTTTCTTAAATGATTTTTTCAAAATAAAAAGAAAATTATTAAATTATTTTAATAAATCAATTACTACTTTCATTTTACTTTTATTATTTTTCTAATTTTTTAATTTAATGGTAAATGGTCATCACTCTATAATGACTAAATAATTATTTGTGTTGTAGTTTAGTTGTTTGCAAACCTAATATCTTATTAGTTTAGTAATTTTACTTTTAATATTTTCTTATTATTACGTTATGGTCATATCTTATCATATGACATTATCTCTTTTCATTTTTGTGTCTTATAGTAAGTTTCGAACATGACATACAAATTTTTTCAAGTAATGAGATTTTGAGACGTTAGACATACCACGAAATTCAAGACATCTATTTCTCTTGTATGGCTATAAGCAATAGCATAAAATCTAAAAGTGTTGCTTAAATAATTCTTTAGTTTTTTCTTTCATTTTCTTATTTTCATAGAAAACTCTTGAGATCAAAATATCTTATATTCTTGTTGTGTGTATTCATGATAGTGAACAAATATTAGAATCTTATATATAAAAATAATCAGATTATACATGAAAATGTATAAATTGATATTTAGAATCAAAAACGAATCTAACAATAAAAATTGTAAATACATAAGATGAGTCTAATTTTATTACCTATACAATAACAAACAAAAAATAAATATAAATTAGTGAAAAAAATAATTAACATATTTTTATCTTAACAATTTTCAAAACAAACTCACGCGTAGCGTGGGAGTTCATCTAGTAGAAATAAAAGTGTTTTGTAGAAGCTTTTTTTTTCTTACATCTTTGGATCGACAAGACCCGATGCATATACATAGTCAATTCCTACTACGCGGGGTAACGCGACTTAGTGGATTCGAACTCCGGTGGGGAAGGCGGAGTCAAATAGACTTAACCACTTGACTAAAGACACATCCCCAGAAGCTTTCTTATTTAAAAATTTAAGATATTTAGTTTTGGTAAGCATAATCAAAACTAGCAAAACAAAACTTAACATGCAGAGAAGGTGGTCCTTCAATAATTGATGTCTATTATCAAAGTTCAATTATATGCACATTTTCATCTAATAAATCGTTGCTTGTGAAAGGTGCCCTTAGGTAAACATGTCGACATCTACATTAATTTGATGTCTATTATCAAAGCTATAGTATATCCAATTAGGGTTTAAGGATTTTGTAATTACCAGTTGTATTTGCCGGAAGAGATAGTAAGGGATTTGTATGCGGATTTAGGGAAGAGTTTCTTGAGTTGAGAGAGGCTTTGTATCTTCATGGAATACGAACAAGGAGAGCGATATACTAACGTGTCGTTTGTCATTGTAGAATCTTTTACTACGCTTGAATCTTCTGCTGCTTCTAGAAAGAAGATTAGAGACAGAGACCTAATCACGAATATATAAAGGGAGGCAAAAGAGTCTCTCTTTGTTTGTTTCCTCGTGTGAATGTGTTTACGCTAGAGCCTAATTTTTCCTCGTTATTCAGTAGTAGACACGAAACCTGACCTTACTAAGGCGATGGGCCTTATATATTATAATCAAAGGCCCATTTAGTTCGAAGCTCGTATTTTAACTTGATATGACTAAAGTACCCATGACGATCATGTGAATTTACCAAACCATCCTTTTTCTTCTTCTTCTCCGTAAGAGTTAGAACAAGGCTTGTTCTCCAAGACGCTTTTTAATCTCTCTCACAACGCCGGAGAAAAGCAAATCGGAATCGGAGTATAAGACGAACAGATCTGTATACGAAGATGGAGTGTGTATTCGGTCTTGTTGGAAATGGATTCGCCATCGTCGCTGCTGATACATCGGCGGTTCACAGTATCCTTCTCCACAAAAACAACGAAGACAAGATCATGGTTCTTGACTCTCACAAGCTTGTTGCTGCTAGTGGCGAGCCTGGTGACCGGTAATTTCTGTATCTGTATCTCTGTAATTTAGCGGTGGAGGTAGTAATTTTGACTGTCTTCGGATTTTGGGATTGATTAGGGTTCAATTTACGGAGTACGTTCAGAAGAATGTGTCGTTGTACAAATTCCGTAACGGAATCCCTTTGACTACCGCCGCTGCTGCGAATTTCACTCGCGGAGAGCTCGCTACTGCGTTGAGGAAGGTAAAGCTCTTCTTCGATTACAGTTCTATGTGAATTGTATTGAAGCTTCCCTCTGGGATTGTAGTGTGACTGTCCCAAACTTGAAGGAACTTACTATATTGTTCTGTGCTTGAATGTCGTATATAGCATCGTCTATAGCCAAATGATCACTACAAGAGTTGCAGAAGTTTCCTTATATTGATTGTTATTGTCTAGAATATTGATCCATCTTTTCTTGGTGGAAAAGATGAAGCTCGCGTTGCAACTGATAGTTTCTTATGTCCATGGATTGTTTCGACTCTGTGTTAGACTTTGAAAGGCTAGAATGACTTGATTTATGTAAAATGTGAGGGTAATTTATTATCATTTTCGGTTTGATATCCAAGAATTATAATAGTCTTGAGGATTATACACAATAAACTCATATGGCCTTTGCTCTGGATTTCCTTGTTTCTGTTTTGTTTATGATTGGCTACTTATCAATGATGTCGAAAAATGTGAGATATCTCTGTGTGTTTTCTTTTTGATCAGAATCCGTATTCGGTGAATATCCTTATGGCTGGCTATGACAATGAGTCTGGTGCATCCCTTTACTACATTGACTACATTGCAACTCTTCACAAAGTCGACAAGGGAGCTTTCGGTTACGGGTCCTATTTCTCCCTCTCCACGATGGACAGGCATTACCGCAGCGACATGTCTGTAGAAGAAGCCATTGAACTGGTTGACAAATGCATACTTGAGATCCGGTCAAGATTGGTCGTTGCACCGCCAAACTTTGTGATCAAGATTGTTGACAAAGATGGAGCTCGTGATTACGCTTGGCGTCAGTCCGTAAAGGATGTCACAACTGCTGCTGTCTGAGTTGGTTTGTGTTTGGTTTCAAATGTTGTGTGTCTGTGACATTTGCTTTTGATTTTAAGTTGGGAGTTAGTGTTTTGACACTTTTAATCTTTGAGCATCAATAGTGTTTGCGATTCCATAAAAATGATATGTATTACTTCAACAATACAAAATAAATCTCACTCGAAACAAAGAACAATATACACAAGCTTATTCCACAAAGCAATGACCAAATAAATGGTTTCTTTATATAATCAACAATGCATAAATCAAATCACATGAGGAATACAAAGAAACAAAGAAATCATCATTAGTAGAATTTGAGAGCTACGAGGGCGATGCTGAATAAGAAAAGAGATGGTGAGAGTGCGTAAGCAGATGAAGGAGTCTCAGAAGGTCGACTGGTGCTGCCTCCGTCGTCTGATGTTGGAGCTCCACCATCGGCAGATGGTGTGAAAGGTCGGGTTGTATCAGACTGTGGTGTCTGAGCTGACGCAGTTGGCTCTGGGACTATAGGATTCGTCGCTGGACCTGGAGACATCGACGGTCCAAATGTACCAGCAGGTCCTGTTCCCAAAACAGAAAAATTCTTATCAATTTATCTTCCAAGCAACTAGATATGTAATTAATTGAGATAATAATGTGATTGATTGTTTACCAGGAGCAGCAGCTGGAGCAATATTGGCTGTAAAAAGATGGAAGGTCAAACATAAATTAGATGATTGATTCAAGCAGTCATATATAAAATGTAATGATTAGAGGGGAATGATTTGATTCTATTTGCCTTGGCATTGAAGAGGGACTCTAGGCATGTTACAAGCACGAGGAAGAGAGACGGCGGTTGTGCGGTTAATCGGAATATTGAAAGGCACAGTTCCAGTGACAATTAGACAGAGACATCCCATCCCTCCGGTGGTCAAAGACCTCAGCGAATTGCAACAATCAGACGACGGCGAAGTTCCGTTGCTGCTACTGTTGGTTATGAAGTTCATACAAGGACTTACAGTGGTCATCATAGACGGAGTACATTGGCTAAGTGGTTGTTGTTGACTGCGAATCGGAAAAGCAAGCACTGCTATCATCGCCACCACCACGACTAGAATCTTCGACATTGTTGGATAGATTAAGGTTTGTTTGTTTGTTGTTCTTTTGATGTTTAATGTTTTGTGTTTGAAGTGTGATGAGAAGAAAGCAATTGTGGGATTCGGTTTTATAGATTGGAGAAAAGTGGAGGGAAGAAAAGGAAGTGTGTATAGGTCAACTACTAATAACTAACTCATGTTCGTTTTTGTTAATTGGAGTCGTTGGTGGAAGTGAATTGGCCAATGGGATGCGTACATGTGTATGGGAGGATTGTGGTAGATACATGTCTTGTATTGTATTAGATGAACCACTCTTTCACGGTTGTTCTGTTTTGGTAACTAAACAAGAGATCAAAGAGATTCCATTTACTTTTAAGTCCATTACTTTCATGTTGAGTTGAGACAAAATATTCAGCTTACAAGACAAAAGACATACATGTGCTCTCAATGATGGAGATGATAAAAAATGATAGAGTTAGTAGCTTAATATGATCTGAACATGTATCCATTTACAATTAAATGAAAGATAAAACTGTTTATTGCAAAATATTTACTTTATTCATTGCTATTACTTTATTTGACGTCCACCAAAAGTCATTGATATCGTGATGTCAAGGAAAAAAAAAAGTCATTGATTTAGTTTGTAATATTTTTTGCCATTTACCATTGACTCAAAATCATTCATGGCTACTGATTTTCTTAGTTTCATTTCATTTGTCTTATTCGGATATTTAGTATTTTCTTTCTTTATGGTCGATAATTCAACTTTCATATAGGTTTAAAACACGGCAACCATATGACTAAAATAACTCACCATTGAATCAAACAAAAATCAACATAATTTTGGTCTAGAACGTCAAAAGACTTGTAAAAGATGATGTCCTAACTGAGAATTTTCGACACCTGTTATTACTTATTAGTCAAGTCAATACAAAAAAAAAAAAAAAAAAAAAAGAATACAAAACAAATCTGTGTTATTGTAATAGTAATTAGCAAAACTCCATAAACCTTAATCAAAGGAAGTAGTTCAACAACTAAAGCCTAGACCGTCACAAAGACCACCGACCCCAAAATTACAAACGGATCAGTTCTGTTCACAACACAACACTCATTTTGTCCGAATCTGAACAGATCAAACCAAAAACTGTTAGAAAAGTAGGAAAGAGTTGGTCACCCAAATTAAGCCACCTTTACTTCCTCAATTCCTTATTTATACCCTAAAAGACTCCACAATATCCCAATCAAACAAACAAACATAACAAAAACCAACAAAACAAACTCAAAAGGATTCTTCTTCAAACACAAAATCTCAAGGAAACATGAAAATGGGAATGAGTTTAGTGTTTCTTACAGTTTTTATGGCAGTGATGTCTTCTACAAGGGTCTCTGCCCAGTCCAGCTGTACAAATGTGTTGATTAGCTTGGCGCCGTGTCTCAACTACATAACCGGAAACTCTACCTCTCCTACTCAGCAATGCTGTCGTCAGTTGGGTAGCGTAGTCCAGTCTTCTCCTGCCTGTTTGTGTCAAGTCCTCAACGGTGGAGGCTCTCAGCTTGGGATCAATGTTAACCAAACACAAGCTCTTGGTCTGCCAACGGCTTGTAATGTTCAGACTCCTCCTGTCAGTCGCTGTAATACCGGTAAGAATTTCAAAACATCAGTTTATGAAGATTGTTCCAATCCTAGTTCTTGCGAATCTTACGCAGTATTATGTTTTTGCAGCTGGTGGTGGTGGTGGTGGTTCTTCTTCTGACTCTCCTGCAGAATCACCAAACTCTTCAGGTAAATGACTTAAAAACAGATATAAAAGAAGAAACACCAATCTCAATATAGTCTTTCTGTTATCTAATGCATCCATATCGATTATGTTAGGACCAGGAAGTGGATCGAAAACCATACCAGCAGGGGAAGGAGACGGACCATCGTCTGATGGAAGCTCTATCAAGTTCTCATTTCCCTTTCTTGCCTTCCTTTCCGCAGCTTCCTACATCGCAATCTTCTGAGTTACTGTTTTCCCATCTACGTTTCTCCTGAAACCGATCAAGCTTTTGTGCCACTCAGATTGCATTCTTTATTTGTCCCTATTTATTCACATTTCGTTGTGATTTTGTGTGATGTATTTTATGCTCTGTGAATCCCTTACTCTCCCGGTGATATTGCTTTGTTGTACCAACGGAGAGCATTTTGGATCTCTTTACCTTTTACAATAAATATTACTTTCCAGAACACAATTTGAAGAACAGAACATTAGCTCTCTCAACAAATTTCAGTTTAGATGGCAGCAATCTAACTATTTTGGGTTCAACTTCGCATGATATAAAACATCCTATAGAATATGACAGACTTTAGGTGGCAAGCAACGTTAACTATGAAACATGAAGTTGTGAGATAAACTATTTAAGTTGGATATGAGAAGAACCAAACTTCAACCGCAGTATGCAATGGGAAGAAACCAACAGAATACAGTCAATATCCACACCTGAACCGCGCACATATATACTATTCACATACAAAAAATAAGAAGCGTGATAAGTTAAAATCAAATACTGCATATAATAAAAAGTACAAGCGAAAATTTGAGATCTATAAGACTTCCTCTCTCGTTATGAACACGAGAAAAAACAAGTGAATGATGCAGTACTTTTGTTTCCATACCTCAAACTTTAGTTGACAAGAGCCATGGTTTGATCATTGGAGTTAGACAGTCTTCACTGCACAAGCTAAATGGGAAGTTAGAAACTTCCTCACCATAGTTAGAGCTAAAGATAAGAACAGCTAGTCTTCCTGAAACATCATCTAAAGAACTTCAACCTGTAACAACAACATGAAAACAAGAAGAAGATGACTATGAGGGCTTCTGTTCTTCACATATTACCCCCATTCACAGTTCTTTGTAAACGTTTGCCACATTTACTAACAAGAAAGTTTCAGTCTCTAAATCCTGTGAATGCAATGCAGGCAAGCATTAAATAAGGCATTGAATGTTTGTAATCGAATGGAGAAGATGCAAATCTTAGCAATAAGATATAATACATCATAATATATTGATCTTAATTCACCTTCCAAAAGACCAAGAGACGTGAAGCAAAGCTAATGAACAGTTTCAATTTATCATTAATTGAAAACCATCACATTGCATAACAACTTTGTTGTCACTATGTTATATAATGTTACAGAAGAAAAAATGATGAAAGATGATACAGAAAAGGATATTCTACAACAATTTAAATACTAAGAATGCGACCGAGATCGCACAAACTCCTCGAGTTTTTCCCAGACTTCTAATGCAGCAGCCCGGTCTTGATGCCGCTTATTCTTGCTAATCTGATTAGTTCAGAAAACACAAAAGAAGTTCCTTAGATTCAGTAAATCATATCTCGATGATAACTCTACACTAACAATAGACAAAAAGTGTGTTAAAGTTCGCACCGAGATGATCTTTACATTCCATTGCTTCACTGTCTTGGCTGATTCGATACTGTCATCTTCAAACCGCAAGAAGAACCCAATGACTGCAAACAATAGAAAAAACGATATCATCAGCACCAAATAGAAACCGAAACCACACAAGACAAAAGATTTTAACTTTTCAGTGTCTAACGCTCCTAGAATCATATTTCCTTACTCTTATTGAATATCTCAACGTGATCCTTAAAAGGCCAATCCTTAAACTGCCAATCCTTCCCCAATACAAAAACCGCAACAACACGATCCCAATCATCAGGCTTCAAAGCAGAAGGCTTATCCCTAACTTCATAAGCAGTCACAACTCTCTCCCTATCTCTACTAAACTTCTTCTGAACCGTAATACAATCCGGCTTTAACCCCTTCATCTCCTTCGCCTTAACATCATTCGGTATATAAACACCATCTTCAAGAAACTCTTTAACATTATATATAGTAATCAACGTCTGAGACGCACTCGGCACAAGAATTATCGGCACGCCTTCTCCAATCTTCCCAGCTCTAAAATGAAGCTTAGATTTAGGATTAGCATCATAACCATTATCATCACCACCACCACTAAACCCTACAATACCTCTCTCTTCAGCTCCCATTAACCTACTCTTAGCAACTAATCCA